GTAAATTATAGTGTCCGTCCAAAAATTATTTTTTACAGATAGTGAAAACTACCCTTGGATGATGGGTTAGTAGACTAAAAGCTTTAGGAATCCAAAGTACAACATATAATAAGTACCCTGTATCAAGATTGATGCAAAACAAGTGAAATTTGACCTTTTTAGAGAGATTTAGCCAAAAACTGGGCCATCTGGGGTCATTTGGGTGGATTTGACCTATCTCTGGCCCCCCTTGCTCGATTTGGTTGGTTGACATACCCTTGTGACCGTTAGAGCCAATAGAATCGAAGGGGGAGGCTCCCACCCAGACACGTTGTAAAGAAAAAATGTGGTTGCTTCGCGTGTGGAAAACCAAACCAAACTGGAGGAATGTCTCCTTCTGGAGTTTGGAAACTAAAACGCAGTTGTATTGCTTATGGATTATCAGAAATAATTTCAAAGAAGGCACAGACACATAGGATGAACCTATGGATTAACTGCAGCATCGTTTTTTTATCGTTTTAATGCCATTGAAGACCACTTTTGACCAAGGTAAGCCATATTTACTTGTTTAGCTTCTTAGCTCCACATGTGATGATGTACGCTTTCGTTTAGAGCGTCGCGAATGTTTATCACTGAGTGTTGAGGTTTTTTACACAGATTCAGTGTCTCCAGGACACCAAAAAAGAGTGGTTGGCTGTGCATCTAGGATAAGTAATAAGGGAGTTATGAGTGAGTTTAAGTGCCTTTGTAGGTCCCGTTTTTGAGTGCTAGCATTGTGTGTTTTTTTTGAAAAAAAAAATTAAAAATATCAGTTAGCTGAGTTTCTTCCCGTTACATGGATATAACACATTCATAGTTTTATTCAATATTAAGATTCCTTAGACGTTGTTTCCTGCAAATGACGCGTTTATCCGCCCGGTACCGGGGGAAGGTGTGAAACAGGTTAAAGAGTCCTCTCCTGCTAATGTTCAGGTGTATATCAGTATGTGGTGTCTCTACTTTAAAGAGTCCTCTCCTGCTGAGGTTCAGGTGTATATCAGTATGTAGTGTCTCTACTTTAAAGAGTCCTCTCCTGCTGATGTTCAGGTGTATATCAGTATGTAGTGTCTCTACTTTAAAGAGTCCTCTCCTGCTGATGTTCAGGTGTATATCAGTATGTAGCAGAGGTTTGGACTCGAGTTTGTTTTTAGCTAATGAATGTTTCCATGCTGAACAACGGCAACATGACAACGTTTTCATTGGTCCCTCTTCTTTAGAGAAGACCAGGAAATGATTGATACACGGATCGTGTTCAAATCAATAGGCACTCAATGACTCTAAATAATAATGATTACGCCACCAAACACACATTCAAACTAAAGTTTTTGTGTTCTTATCCGGACGTAAGAGCCGCATACTTAACACGAAGCTAAACTCCACTCAAAATGAAGAAAAAGAGTCGTCGTTGTAGTTGAGAAACTTTACTGGTAACTCCTTCACCATGACATGGAATGAAAACTGTAACAATAAATACAGAATGCAAAGCGATTTCAGTCTTGTGTTGTCTATTCAAACACCCTTAGTTGCATTGTAAATGTGTAAAATATAACATTACATTTTTCTTAATTTCTTAAACATCTTTCCATCAAATAAGCCTTGATATAAGAACTACAACATGTTAACAATGAAATGTAATCACTTAAAGGGGACCTATCATGCAAAATGCACTTTTGTACGTCTTTTATACATGAATATGTGTCCCCGGTGTTCCAGGGAACTCACCAAGTGTCAGAAAACACAACCCTCTCTATTTTCCTCCATACCCAAATCTCTAAAAAAGAGGCTGCAACGGATCTGATACAGACTGATCCAGATTTGAACACTTCTATGTCGTCACAGAAGTGGCGCTACGGCTATTGGGCCAACTCTCCACCTATCAGGGGAATGTGGGGTTGGGCCACGGCCGGCCATTGCCGCTCGAAAGCGCTGGAGACGCTGTAGTACATATGCCAGGCCTGTAAGTGGCGCTGTAGTCTGCCACAAAAGCAGCGAAGAAGACTTCCCGCGCATGGTTACCATGGTTACCCTTCTGTTTATTCTCCGCTGTGGCTTTCTTTCTCCCTCCCCGAGGCAAGCGTTTGCTCCCGCTGCTTTAATTCAATGCAATCCCTCCCCGTCGAGGCAAGCACTGTAATTCTCTCCGGTTAGTCCACCAGCAGATGACAAACACCCACCTCTCCGCCTCTTCCAAGGAACGAGGGGACCGTGCGGCAGAGTTTCAGTTAGGTTTCTTTCGCCGGTCAAGATGTCCGTTAAAGTTGAAATCTTCCGGACAAAATTAGAAAAGTGCCGGTCAAAGGTCTTCTTTGTTATTTATTGAGCTTTAAGGCGAGACACGGCAGGCAAAAACATCGTTTTTCCTGCACTGGTCAATTTTGAGATTTTGTGCTATTTTGATTCCATAACATGTTTTCTTTCAGGCTTTTGGAAGGAAAACATACAAAATACACATTTAAGTGTTTATTTTACTATAGTTTGTCTATATGTGTCTGTAGATTTCTCCTAAATTCACCAAAAGTTAGCATTCTAACGTAACATAAAGTACCGCGACCGCTGTTTGCACCATGTCATCAGAGGTATCGTTGGAAAGCTCCGTGTCTCCTGCACAATCTCATCGGATCCAAATATGGTCATTTCCTTTGTATCAGCAACCAATCGTGAAAGTGCAAAGGGGTCTAAACCAAGAAACGAAATCTCATTGGCTGGTGTCAATTTCTGACAACGTGATTCGTTCAGATGCGTCACGTGGTGTGCTAAAGCACTTCCTGGTTAGCTTTCCGCTAGAAACTTAAATCTGAAAATGGCAAAATAACGGCGAAAAAAACGTTCACAGAGAAGACGACAACAATTGTCACTTGCACAAAGCAAGGTTATACAAAAAACAAATGACCCCGAACATGAAATACCTTCAGGGAGTGCGTCGATGCGCAAGCTGTCATCCAGATAACAGGAGGGTTTAGCTAGCGTCACACTGCAAATCTTTAAAGGTCGTTTTCTCAAAATGAGTTTTTTCTCCTACTCTGAGTTCGAAATTTCCACTTCAGTAGCAGTTACATACACCAAACCTTCCAGTTATATTCCTATCAATATTATGAAGGCTTTTACAGAAGGGTTTGGTCATATATAATTCATAGCCTGAATTATATAACATTTTATACCTAAAAACATGGTGAAAATTGATATTTTAGGGCTGTTGACAGTATTTTCTGATTTATGGAGTGATACAAAGAGATATCCAAAATCCCTTCTGTAAAAGCCTTAGATACTAATATGACTACAAAATGAAACAATAATTTTGATCCTGGCTTTATCCAAAGTTCAGATTTCGGTTCCTGAAATGTGTTAAAATATGCCCATATTTCAAGAGATAATGGCTCATTTGCATATTTAAACATGCTATTTCAGAAAACTTGTAATACAAAAAACAATTGCCTTGTTGTAAGTAATTAACTGGAGAAATGTCTAGCTGATATCTTTAAGTTAAAAAAATTACCTTATTCACCTGGGGTGTCTCGCCTTAAAACAAATGAATAACGACTCTATATAATAAAACACGGAGGACGGAGATCTCTTTTTCTCCCCCTCTTCTGACAGCCCAGCAGCTGATCAGAGCACGGCTCCCCTCTCCTGCAGGGGGGCGTGGTCAGCAGAATCAGACCCGTAGACAGCAAACAGCACATAGAGCGAAATGAGGCATGGCTAAAATGCATGATCTGTTTGGTATTTTGAAAACAGAAACGTATAAATATACCTTATATAGGTATGGCCCTACAATATATCATTTAAATATAGCATGATAGGTCCACTTTAAGACATTGATCAGTCTTTTCATTCAGATGCAAATTAACAATGCCTAAACATGTGGCTTCCTTGGGCCTTTCTCATTTCTCTAATTCCCCTCCTCGACTCCCCTCCTCGACTCCTATCCTCGTGTCTTACTCCCGCCCAAAGGAGATGCGAGCGGAGGAGTCGAGGAAGGGAACCGAGGAGAGAGGAGGGGAAGCAGCAGGCGTTTCGAGAAATTAGATGTCCTTCAACATGGTGCGCTGAAATCCATTTCCGGGTCACTACCGGAGGACCGAGGATTCGAGGAGTCGAGGAGGGGAAATTAGAGAAATGAGAAAGGCCCCTTGAGTTTCTACCATTTTCTGACAGCATGACAGGAAGTGATGCAAGATTGACAGGAAGTGATACATTCAAATAACTTAATGAACAGTGTCAAATAAACAAACGTTACAAGTCACCTGAAAGGTGCTGCAAAGCAGTATTTTAACCTTAAAAATTATATGAAGTGTTTTTTAAAACACCACAAAAGTAACGAGCCTGTTTTGAAAATGTGAGAAGTAGAAAGTTCAGGTATTTGTGTTCAAAATGTAAGAAGTAAAAGGACAAATTTGTCAGAAAAATAAGTAGTGGAGTAAAGTACTGATACCAGAAAAATGTACTTAAGTATAGTAACAAAGTATTTGTACTTCACTACTTCCCACCTCTGTTGCTGGCTCTAATTTGTGTTACAGGTGTTCAAGTCGTTCACCTGATGAGCCACACCTGGGTGCCTGGGGATAAAAGGCCAACACCCTCCCATACTGCCGGCTCTCATTCTTTTGTTGGCTTCAACTTTGATTGTGCACATTTTCAAACAAACACACACACACACACACACACACACACACACACACACACACACACACACACACACACACACACACTGACACTGATAACTGACACTGATAACTGACTCCCACGATTGTTCAGGTTCGTTATGTCCTTTGGATCTTTTACATTGTAAATAAATATGCTTTTTGTTCCACTTAAACTTGCCTGGCCTCCCATCTTTGTTGCAGCCTCCGGGCTGTACACAGTATCATTCATGTATTTGACATCCATCCACAATTGGAAATCATTTACCAGTCAAAGATCATTATCTAACATACTCACACTTAGAAAATTCACCTGAAGACATGTCAGCCACAACACACACGTTGACTCAAGCACCACTTTTATTGGCATAGAGAATCAAGGTAAACGTAAAAGGTACAAAAATGAACCTTTAAGCTCGTAAACTTTATGTGTACTATATAGAAGTTATCATCAGGTTTTATCTCAGTTTAAGGAAGAGATTTCCCACATATAAAATAACCAACGTTTCCAGTGTTTATACTTCCTAACGGTTATATTTCTCCATAAGACATAGTTGAACACCATACACTTGGTTTACATATTCCCCAAGTTTTCAATCAAGACCCCATGATTGAAAACAAAATAACATACAGTATCTTCTATAAAAACACATCTTCCAGCGCAATTGTTTTGTAACACAACATCAGGTTTTAGTGTAATGCCTGCCAAGATAATGATGTTCAATGTTTGCTTTAAGAGGCCTATGTTTAATTGGGCTTTAACAAGCGGTGGTGCGGATCAGAAATGCCCTTTTTTTTCACAAAATTGCCCCTGATCTGATACATGCAGTCTCATGCACATTTGAACCAAAGACAGGACAGCTAAAGTCCCGAATAAAGAATGGCTTTCACAGTTATACAGAGCTGCAATAGTGTGTTTAGTCTAAGATAGGACTTAAGAACCGTTAGGAACCAAATTGTGCAGTTGGAAAAGGCTTCTCCAATAGAACAACTTTATAAGTGTATCATATCATTTGGTCTCCTGAGGATATCAGGGATCAGAAACCCTGAGTACTGCAGACTGAGAGGCATGAAGGCTTTACACCTTCTCCAACTGTGTCACCCATGTTTTCAGTTTATCCACCAGCACTGTGGGAGAGAGAGATAGACACCATATTAGTATTGTTATTGTTGGAGAAATTCTATGGTTAAAGGGCCCTACTGTGCTTTTTTTGTGTTTTCCCAGAACATAGTGACTTCACTACGTAACACTCACACTTCTATTGGCTAGCGCTCCAGCACATTGTACGTGATAGGCTAAGGGGGACATCTCTAAGCGGTTGACCAATCACAACAGAGCCGGCCAGCTAACCAATCAGAGCAGACTGGGCTTTGGTTTCAGACAGAGGGTGAAAAGAGGTGCTGCAGCACAGACAGTATGAGAAAAATAAAGAGCTTTTTGAACATTAAAGCATGGACACCTGAACATCAGCAGGAGAGGACTCTTTAAAGTAGAGACTCTACATACTGATATACACCTGAACATCAGCAGGAGAGGACTCTTTAAAGTAGAGACACTACATACTGATATACACCTGAACATCAGCAGGAGAGGACTCTTTAAAGTAGAGACACTACATACTGATATACACCTGAACATCAGCAGGAGAGGACTCTTTAAAGTAGAGACACTACATACTGATATACACCTGAACATCAGCAGGAGAGGACTCTTTAAAGTAGAGACTCTACATACTGATATACACCTGAACATCAGCAGGAGAGGACTCTTTAAAGTAGAGACAATACATACTGATATACACCTGAACATAAGCAGGAGAGGACTCTTTAAAGTAGAGACACTTCATACAGTACTTCTTCCACCACTGCAACTGTCACTCTATGCACTATTATAACTATGCACTGATTGGCTTAAGCTGAACAGCCAACCAGAGTTAACTTTGAGGTTTATTTGCTGACAGTGCGGGACTCACCGCATAGAACATGGCCAACAGACACTCAAAATTGGCGGACCGGCGATAATCTGCTTGGTGTGTCAGGGCCTTAAAGTCTGTCCCTTGTAAGACAATCTAGCAGATACATGTTTTACTTAAAGGTGAACATGGTGATGGCGGTAAGTTACCTCCAGCAGACGGTCTCTGGAAGGGATTGTAGGCCCGGCAGGCGTTGATCAGAAGTTCTAGTTCTTTGGGACAGTCGTCAAGCCGCTCCTGGTATTTGTCTACGAACACTTTCTGATGGACTTCTTTAACGGTCAAACCTGAAAGAAAATCACGAACACAATAAGGACAAAAATAATAAGCCCGCGTTGTAGTTTTAGTCATGCTAGCAGCACCATTTTAGTCCAAACTTTTGGATGGATTGCCCTTCTGTTCAGACATTCACGTTCCTCGTTCTTAGTCAATGTTTCTGACATTTACAGACCAAACAATGTATCTAGAAAATAAGTTAATCGTGCAAGAGTTAGGTGCAGCTGTGCTTTGATTTCATAATTTTTAAGTTGTTTTTAACTTCTAGTAATTTCTGTATGTAATTTAGATCAGTGGTCCCCAACCCCTGGTCCGTGGTTCATTTGGTACCGGGCCGCACAGAAAGATTGATTGAATGCAAAAATAATTGATTGATTATCAGTCTGAAAGATGTTTTATTTAGAAAAATGACCGGATACATCCGTCTGTGCGTCTGTGTCTCTTGACACATTTCATTCCGGTGCGCTCCGGCAGCACTACAGCCCTGTATCCCCCTATACTTTGAATGGCGGTCCGTGTAAATCTTGTCTCCCATGAAACCGGTCCGTGGTGCAAAAAAGGTTGGGGACCGCTGATTTATATGACAGCATTTAATCTTTTTCTGTAACGCGATCAACCATGAGGTCCTTTTTTTTTTAGATGTTGCAATTACATCTAGAGTTGGAGAGTCCTGGCTGTTGTGTTCTGCAGATACATACCGTCAAAAGGTTTGCGTCCAGTTGCAACTTCCCAGAGGACGATTCCAAGGCTGAAGGGCAACATTTCAAAGTTATCGTACAGCAGTGAAAACAAACATGCAATCTCTGAATTAACCTGATGTCCAGAGTGACGGTATCTGACCTGTAAACCTCACACTCTTTGCTGTAGTTGTTAATATATTCCAGTAACTCAGGAGAGGAGTAGGTGAAGGACCTGTTCACCCCGCCCCTCGTTGGCTTTCTCAGAGACGTCTCAGTTTGTGTAAACTCAAAGCCTCCCAGCTGAAAACCACACCAAGACTTTATTAGTTTCCCTCAACGCCTTAAATCCCGCCAATCATTGGACCGTCAGCAATCCCAGCATGCACCAGTGTCCGTACCTTGACTGTGTAGCCGTCAGCTACCAGAAACTTGCTGCTGTTGATGCATCCATGAACTTTACATTTTTCTTCAGACTGGTGAAGTCTATAAATGACACAGATGTTATCATCATGAAGGTACATTTTATCTTTTAAATTCAATGAAATACAATTCCTTTATTGTCATTGTACAGGTACAATTACATTTAAAAAGCATTGCTGTCAGTGCATAACAAGCAATAATGAACAGGGCATAAAATAAATGATTATGTTATTCTAACCGGTAAAGTCCCAGCGCTGCGTCGCGGCACATACGAGCTTTCTGGTTCCAGCTCAGTATGCAACCAGAGTCTAGAACCTCCCGCAGACTTCCCTTCTCACAGTACTCCATGATGATGAGAAACTGAGGTTTAGGTCCTGCAGGAAGTCACAAGGCAACCTCACATTATTGTCATTTTAAAGGAGTGGTGCAGGAATTATGTATTTTTGTAGTCTGACTGTAAAGGTTGGACCAATAAATGCAATTGCCAGAACAAAAAAGCTAACGATAGGCTATAAAGGAACTACAGCATGGTCACATGACTTCACATCACCACCGCTAAGCTAAAGGAGGCTAATGTTGGGCTATAAAGGAACTACAGCAAGGTCACATGACTTTACGTGACCACCGCTAAGCTAAAGGAGGCTAATGTTAGGCTATAAAGGAACTACAGAACGGTCACATGACTTCACGTCACAACCGCTAAGCTAAAAGAGGCTAATGTTAGGCTGTAAAGGAACTACAGCACGGTCACATGACTTCACGCCACCACCGCTAAGCTAAAGGTGGCTAATGTTAGGCTATAAAGGAACTACAGAACGGTCACATGACTTCACGTCACAACCGCTAAGCTAAAGGAGGCTAATGTTAGGCTGTAAAGGAACTACAGCACGGTCACATGACTTCACGTCACCACCGCTAAGCTAAAGGAGGCTAATGTTAGGCTATAAAGGAACTACAGCACGGTCACATGACTTCACGTCACCACCGCTAAGCTAAAGGTGGCTAATGTTGGGCTATAAAGGAACTACAGCACGGTCACATGACTTCACGTCACCACCGCTAAGCTAAAGGAGGCTAATGTTAGGCTATAAAGGAACTACAGAACGGTCACATGACTTCACGTCACCACCGCTAAGCTAAAGGTGGCTAATGTTGGGCTATAAAGGAACTACAGAACGGTCACATGACTTCACGTCACCACCGCTAAGCTAAAGGTGGCTAATGTTGGGCTATAAAGGAACTACAGCACGGTCACATGACTTCACGTCACCACCGCTCAGCTAAAGGCAGCTAATGTTCACAGGGATGACGTGTATTACTCTTATTTAGTCATATTTTAGCAATTGCCCTTTCCAAGACCAAGAGGACATTCTCCAGTGAGGTATTTACCAGAGGTGGGGACTCGAGTCACATGAATGAAATGAATCTGAACTTTTTGATCTGTTATAATGATAAACTGAAGCAATTTCAAAATTAACCCAATTAAGTGAGTTTTAAATCGTCCTACTTATAAGGAAATTATGAAGAGGAACAAATTAAATGATTTGAAAATGATATCTATGTAGGTGCTGACGCTGTTGGCGGTTCTAGTGTTAACAGAAATTTAAATTAAATATGTGTAATGGCAAATGCCATATACGATTTTATTACCTGGAATTCTGCCTTTTTGAACAGACTTTTTGATTGAGTCCTAGCTATATTGTCTGCAGTTCTAGGGTTAATATTGATCTAATATGATTGTCATCGGTCTAAATTAGATTTCAAATGATTAACTGTGTATGTAATGAAGATCATAGTGTGGGTTGAATCCATTTTCATAACCACTGTAAATGCGGAAACTGGGCTTATTCATCAGAATTTCGTATGACTTGACTTGACTTGCTTGACTCTCACCACAGTGACTTGGGACTTGCTTGATACTTGTAGGTCAAGACTTGAGACTTGCTCATGACTTGCACATGTAGGACTTACTCCCACCTCTGGTATTTACTGATGCATTTTGTGTCCAAGAACCAAAGTCTCTTCAGCTTGTGTTAACCACAGACCTTGACTTCAAGACAAGGAAATCAGACAAGGTACAATGCTGACTCATTTTCCGGGTTTGAGGACTCATTGCTGCACCACTCTATATTCAGAATTTTACATTTTACAGTCCACTCACCCGTCTCGTCCTCGACACAGATGCCAAACATTCGCAGGATGTTGGGCGACTGAAACACTTTCATGGTTTCCACATCCTTATTGAAACGTTTTTTCACCTCGCTATATGTCAGTGGCATGGAGGAAGGAAAAAAGAAAAAGGAACGGTAACAGACATGCTGTATCTCCTCCAGCTTGTCTTAAAGGTGAATAAATCCACCAAAAGAACAAAATGATGAATGCAATTAGGAAAAAGGAAATTGGTATTGTCGTGAAATGTGCACAGACCTTATGTTGGTGGTCGCAGGGTCAGTGTATCTCTTGATGGCCACTGGGAAACTACGGTACTCTCCTCTGTAGACCTCTGAGGTTGGCGTTGTCATGAAGGGCTTCTTGGTCAGGCCGTCAAGCTCGTATTTAAGCTCCTGCTGTTTGATGATCTGGTTGCCCACATTGTAGGGCTTCTCCACTGTGAAAACATGTGGTCAAAAGTTAGTTTGGGTCAGGATTTGTAATGTAAATCCATTATTCTATCTCTTTTAGCTCTGGTTTTGGTTTCCTCCAACTACTAAGGCAATATAGATTTATTTATATAGTAGGTTTCAACAACAAGGCGACTCAAATCTGATCAATTGTTCTGACATTGATTATTATGTATATGCTGCTTATGCTCTACTCACACATTTTCACGATCTTATTAATGTCTTCTTGCAACTTGTTTGCCATCTCCTGCTGCTCCTCCGCATACTGCAGTAGCACTGAGGAACAAACAAACACGTATAAAGTAAAAAAGACAACAATAATGCACCACTTTCCTGCTATTTCACACAATATCCTACACAGGGATGTCATTTCATGTCCTTTTATCTGATAGTCAGTATGTTCAAGTTTGGATACTGTCATACGAAAATGTGAAGAATGGTTTGTCATTAAGCTTTATTTCAACCTGGACTTTGAGGGACTCCAAGGTCCAGGAAGTGCAGAAGTTCCTCAAACTCATGCGTGTTTGCTTTCCTTTTAACCTGTTAAGCCCTGAGCCTGTTTTTCAGGTCTCAGGCTCGAAAATGACATTCCCAGAACAAATGACCATATCTTCCCTTCTAAAAGGGTTAAATTAATAATCTTTTTTCTCAAAGTAATGATAAACCTGTGAGTTGGATGTAGAAAAGTCAGAACAATATAGATGTTTTTTATTTTAAAGAAAATTCAGATTTTACATAGTAAAAAACTGTAAATTATAGTGTTCGTCCAAAAATTATTTTTGACTTATAGTGAAAACCACCCTTGGATGATGGGTTAGTAGATTAAAAGCTTTAGGAATCCAAAGTACAACATATAATAAGTACCCTGTATCAAGATTGATCCAAAACAAGTGACATTTGACCTTTTTAGAGAGATTTAGCAAAAATAAACCACTTCTGGGGTCATTTGGGTGGATTTTCCATATCTCTGGCCCCCCTTACTCGATTTTGATGGTTGACACCTCTTTCTGACCGTTAGAGCCAATAGAATCGAAGGGGGAGTCCCCCACACACACACGTTGTGAAGAGAAAAGGTGGGGGCTTCGCGCATGTAATTTTGCATCAGAGTGAACCTATCTCTAGCTTTGACATCTGGAAACGGAAAAGCAGTTTTAATGCTTATGGATTATCAGAAATCATTTCAAAGGGACACAGACACATTGGATTAACCTATGGATTAACTTCAGGAGCGTTTTTATCGTTTTAATGCCATTGAAGACCACTTTGGAGAGACTACAGAGCCAAGGTAAAAATGTTAGCATTTTTAGCTACCTAGCGTCACCTGTTTTGATGTCCGTTTTTGCTTATAACGTCGCAAATACGTATAATTCAGTGGTAATGTCAGTGTCGTTAGATTCTGTGTCACCTCACGATGTGAATCGATGTGGATGTGGTGAAAAGATAAATAATAAGGTTTTGTGAGTGATTTTCGGTGCAGTAAGGTGTTAGCATTTTTCACTCGTTGCTAATTCAGAGGCTCAGCGTTAGCATTGTGGGTTTTCTTTTAAAAAAAAAAAAAAAATGATCAGTTAGATGAGTTTCTTCCCGTTACATGGATATAAAACATTCATAGTTTTATTCAGACACTGTTTCCTGCAAGATGTTGCGGCAGTGCCCCGGTACCGGGGTCTCTCGGGCTTAACAGGTTAAAGGTCACCTATTATGCAAAATCTGCATTTTCATGTATTTTCTACATCAACATGTGTAACTGTGTAAAGACCCCCTCTCTTTTTGTCCTGATCCATTTATATAAAAACCTGTCTGTAAATGGGCTGATCAGATTTTGGCCACTTTATGATGTCATAACGATTTTTTGGCTTGTGTAACCATTAGCCAATCAGCAACCAAGCTGACCGGCTGCTAACAGCTCAAAACATTGCCTTAAATTGCCAAATATGTTTTATATGAAATCTAAATGGTTAGTTTGGTACCTGGAAGAAGTGTTATTACCTAATGAAAGTACATTTAGAACATCTTACAAACGTTTATTTGGCAAGCTAAAGTTGATAAAGCTAATGATGCTATGCAAAGTAATTGCAATTACGCTCTAACTGGAAGTTCGAACACAAATCAAGGTTCTGAAACTCTACAAAGCCACCATCAGTTTGCCCTCACTTATCTTCAGCTCTCTGTCATCCTGCTTCCTGTCCAGCTCGTCCTCTTTCTCCCTGGTGGATTTTTCGAACACCTTCAGCAGGACGTTGCCTTGCTCCACCTGCAGAGATCCTGAAAGGATCTGGAAGGCGTCGTCGAGGCGGTCGTTCAAGCTGTAGAACTCGTCTTCGTGGTTTCCACACTTCAGCACTCGCTTCACCAAAGATTCCCCGGAGTATTTCTTCATGACCTCCTCCGCCGATTGCAGTGTGAAGGAGAGTTCCTTGAGGCATCGTTCTACGTCTGCAGAGGTTTGTCCCTTCTTTCTCTGCTGGATGGACTTCACCAGATGCTCCAGAGCTTTGACGCGATTGCAAACACGACGGCATCGCTTCTTGTTGGCTTTCACATTCTCCACCAGGCAGTAGATCTGGGAGGCGATGGACACGATGATTTCAATGCTGTCCATGAGCAGCTGGAAAGAGGGGGGAAATCCATTAAATCAAAGCAGAAGCTGAATTGAAGCCAATGCATTGATTTTTATTTGACATTTTCTTACCTAAAGGGCACATATTTTGTTCATTCTCAGGATATGTTTACATACTTTAAAGGGGCCCTATTATGCTGATTTTCAGGTTTCCCCTGGGGGGTTCTATTGATCATTAAAGGTCCCATGTCATGCTTTTCCGGTTATTACCCGTCCCCTTGTGTGTTATGTAGCTTTTTCTGCATGTAAACGGTCTGCAGAGTCAAAAACCCTCAAAGTACACCCTGTAGCGAGTAAAACTCTAACCCAAAAAAGACCTGTCTATGCTGCCCCAGAACACCTCGTTGGAGATTTCTCTTTTTCCATTTTTTTCTTCCTGAGTATAGTGACGTAACGGTACCCAGGTCAAATGGACCGATCTCCACACACACACTCACAGCTTAAAAGTTTAGAGCCATAGCAGACTGGGTCAACAATAACAAACTGGTACTCAACATTGCAAAAACAAAAGCAATGGTGTTTGGATCCAGACATATGTTAAGCAGCAATCCTCAATTAAGCCTGACACTGGCTGGTCAGCCAGTGGAACAGGTAAACCAGACTAAGTGGCTTGGCATTGTTCTTGATTCTGGTTTACAGTGGACAAAGCAAATAGACAGTATCGTAACTAAAATGGGAAGGAGCATAGCTGTGACGAGAAAATGTACAAAGTATGTAACACCAACTACTTTGAACCAAGTCACTCAGTCTCTGGTTTTGTCACATCTTGAGTACTGTCCGGTCATATGGTCATCAGCAGCAAAAACACATATACAGAAATTACAAATAGCTCAAAACAAGGCTGCCAGACTAGCTCTCCACTGTTCGAAGCGCACTCATATTGGAGTTATGCATAGAAACCTATCATGGCTTCCGGTTGAGAAACGTCTGCAATCTCGTGTTATCACTTTTCTAAAAAAAGTCCAATTTAGCAAAAGACCACTGTATTTGTATGATCAAATAGTTTACACAAGAGACGAGCATGACCATAGGACTAGACAAGCTACATCAGGCCATCTCCGGGCACCTAAACCCAGGACACATCTTCTGAAATCTTCAGTGACTTATAGAGCAATAAAGGAATGGAACTCATTGCCAAACTACCTCGGTGACATAGAGTCCAGAGCCTCTTTCAAGAAGAGATTGAAGGGCCATCTACTAATGACCATGTACCCTTGTGAGCTGTGAACCCTAATTTAATTTGATCTCATGCTTTGTACTGGTGGGTCTCTTGTGCACTCATCCTTGGCTGAGATTGATATTGAAAGTGGATGAGATTGTTGATGATATTGGTGATGTTGTTAATGAAGGAATTATGTCTTGAATGTTGTTGTATTATTGTTGTATTGTTTTAAGTGTCGGACCCCAGGAAGAGTAGCTTTTGTCAAGAGCAAAAGCTAATGGGGATCCTTAATAAACATAAGCAGCCTGTCTGTTAGTGTGTGTGTGTGCTCAGGCTGAGTTCCGCGGTGTCTCGCTGTCTCGCAGACCCCACGCAGCATTCTCATCTGTTTGTCATTGCTGGTGTCATTTCCTGGTTGCTAACAAACGCCATTGTAACACATAATCACTGATGTTCCGCTGTAACGGTGGTGGACTCATCAGAACAGAGTGGGCGAGCTGACCAATCAGAGCACAGTGGGCTCATAGGGAGGGGGGGAGGGCAGGAGCTCCAACAAGGCGTGTAGGACAGAGAGTGGATACACATACTATACAGAGATGCTGTATGAGAAACCAATGTGAGTTTGGAACATTGAACAATGTAAATCTATTCTAGTAGACCTCAACAATGGAATTATGATCAGAAATGGCCAAGACATGGGACCTTTAAATCAGCCAATAAAACACAGAACACGTAATATAAGAAAGGTCACACAGGATAAAAAGCTTAATTATGAATGAATGTATAAGCTGAATTATGCAAAGTGGGACATCTACGAAGCATGCAAAACCAGTTTAGACAGACACATCTTAAAATACACAACAGAAGACAGGTTAAAACATGAAGGGATGCAATCCTACAGACACAACGCAAAGCAAGAGAAGCAGACAGAGCACGCATGAACAAGCTCTGATCCTGCAGAGAGAGACTGATAAAATCTTACAGCCAGAAAATAAATACTAGTCTGTTCACTTTCTGCCATGCACATACCTGCATGATGACACACAGAAGGAGATGGCATTATCATTTGCTAACTATCACATTGGTTTCATTACTGCTGCAGATATTTGGTCATAAACCAAAGAGATATTTATCTTTACAAACTGAAAGCCGACATTGTCCTCCTAGCTATTCTGTTGACACGGCTAATAAAAACACTACCCACTTTTATGAGTAGAATAAAAATGTGCCCGGACAAGCTGACCTACATTGATACTCTCTATTTGATTGCACTTTCACAGTTACATTTGAGTGACACATGAACTGTGTTGGCTTTAAGATCCATTTCCCTTCATTTTGATTTAAATGTCTTTTTTTAATTGCTCCTTTGTTTTTGATACCACACTATTTGTATTATCAAGGTGTAAAGCAAGCTGCTAGATTAAAATACAATTACAATTCTTAATGTAATGTAACCCTAACCCTAATTACACCAGGTGCCCCAATCACCCAGTGCCCAAATACTCCTTCGAAATAAAAGCATAAAACTACTTGAACTAACTCATAATAACACTAAATAATATTACATTTACTATAAACAAAAACAGCGAGAAAATAAATGTTTAACTATTAAATATTATCAATCAAAATATAGCTCAACAACTTTCCTAAAGCTTTCAAGGACACAGATTGTGAGTATGTTTGGATTTCTTGTCCGTCCGACACTCACAAGCCGCTATGACTCAAGATTTGTTCTATTTTTAACAACTTCTTCTTTTCTCTTCCCCCCTGTCGTTCCCACGCATGCTAGCTTTGTGTTGCCCGGGGGGTAATAACTTGTCTTTGTGTCCGTCTTCAACAAGTTCACCCAGCGAGGAAAGTTCCTCTTCAGCAAACGTGCAAAACACCAGTCTGTAGTGAGTAAGTACGGCTGCACAGAAACGACTGTAAACATGCTGAATCTGCAGAAGACTGAACAAGAACCAGAGGACAGAAGCAGAGCCGTCTGCAGAGGAGTTTACATGTTGATAAGATTTATAACAAAATCAGTATTTACCTTTTAGTTGATGTAAAGTTTCTCGTCTGAGGGATTTAGCCTAACTTCGAAACTAACTTCTGTCAGCTCTTCCCTCGGCTGCTTCCTCTTATTCTCTGAGTGTTAGTCCTTCCTCTAAGTGTGACTCATGCTCGTGACACACCAACGGTTTATGTATTTTACCCCTATGAGCAGAAGTGTTAATCAAAGCAGAAGGCGCAGAGTAGATGAGATCTGGGGTTCTGACGTAGGATCAGCAGGGGTGGGAGGGAGGAGGTGATCTGACACCTGACAGGGACAGAGTCACATGGATCAGCAGGGGTGGAGGAAACACAAAAAGAAGGGGGAGGGAGGAGGGAAATTAGTTTTTTTAAGAAACTATCTAAGAAAACCCTTTTAATCCATATATTAACACAAAGGGTCATAAAGTGTTATTACCTATACAACTTCAAAAGACATCCTTAAATGTTATATAACCATATATTACCACAAAAGCGTCAATAAGTATTATTACACCACTACTTAGGAACAGTACCTTATAGGGGAGATTACAATAACAATAGGTGAGCAAACAATTAATACAAAGAATGAAGGCAATGGTTTATTAGAGGTCACTACAACAGGTGCACTGACATCTGTCACATCAAAGAGGTTTAGGGGCGGGACTAAGGGTTTATGGCGGGTCATAAATCAATCACTCAACATGTCATAAATAGCAAAGTGACACATACCCTCTCCTTTCTACTACTTGTATCATAATATCATCTTTATTAGGAAATGAATGGTCAACATCTTGTACAAAACACAATAAAACGTGTCTTGTTTTGCACACACAGTTTAATGACTTTAATTGAGGAAACACATTTCCAATAAGCACAAATCCAATCACACACCATAAACAATGGTATCAATATTTAATCATCGCTTGTTGAATGAGGTTAGTTGAAAGCAATAATATTAAATTGAACCTAATATTTCTTACTTAAAGGTGGGGTAGGTAATTTTGGAGAAACCAGCTTGAGTGCGCTAGAATTTGAAAATACACAACCGGAGAAAATCTGCCACTTCCTTATAGAGCCCCTCCTCCAACACACACGAACGCGCACATGACCAATGAGGGCACGAGATAAGTTTGTGCACAGATGGAAGGCTGACAGGCAGGTAGGCCATCCAGTTATTTTAGCCGGGCCGGCTCAGATGATTGGTCGTGCTTTTTACAGTACTACGGCTTCCACAGATGAAATTTTTTTATGGATTTTTTGTCAAAGCACTTCAGATATTCATTGCTATCGGGATGTTAAGAGCATTCCATGGAATATAACAACAAGTGTATCTCCAGCCGGTTTCTCAAACTTACCTACCCCACCTTTAATCTTAATATTATGGCTTTTAACTAACCTAATACAGTTATGTAAAATCTGTTGACATAATACATTTAATTAAAGTCAAGGTTTCAGTTTAAACAAACACCAGAGTTGTAACAAACCTGTAGAAACAGAACTAGGAGTGCTCTGTAACATGCAGGTTATTTTGCTGAAAAAAAACTGTCACCACTCTGGAGTTGTTTTATAGAAATGAAGGATGCTTTTTGATCAGGGACACAATGTTTTTCAGGCAGGATTGCAACCAGGGGCAATCCTGCCCCCCCGTTGACAGTTCACGAGCGTGTTCTACCAATTTGTGTGGGCTGGGCAGGGTCAGAGTCCAGGGCTGATTTTCAGACCCAGTCCGCCCCTGGTTGCCACATTAAGTTGTATATTAAACTGGGCACAGAATGTAGTACCATGTATGGTACATATGACACTAAGATAGTAAAATCATAAAGCATAGTCGTAGCTAACTGCTGCTGAACATTGATACCAAAGTCCATTCAATATAAATATGAAATACATTAACCTGTCTACAACTTAACTAAAAGGAACTAAAATATGTGAAATAGTTTTCCTGCCTGCTGCTTGTCACCACCACATACACCAGGATAGTTTATATTGAGCCTTTTTTTATGAATCCTGTTATTTATCCCTCAATTATTTTTGCTGCTTTGACTTTTGAGCTTCTATAGCAACTTAATATCCCCTTGTTAGGATGAATACATTTCTTATCTGATCCTACAGGAGATTGTTGAGAACAAAGTCTGTTTTGCGCTGGCTTGACTGTACCATAACTGTTATTGTCTTTAACAGAAAGATACATGTTGAAGCATCTCTTAGTCACAGACAGATCTGCAGAGACACGACTGAGGAGTTCAGAGGATGTTTGACTTTCTTTAAAGCATCTGCCTCCATGTACCAGTAAGTACTCATCTCTGTTATATTATTATGTTATTCCTTTTATGTTTTTAGTGTTATTGAGTCTTCTCATGATATGTTCTTCACCTGAGGAAACTGCTATGTGGTGGAACATTATATCTCTACGTAAGAGGAGGAATACTATGTTTTATTAAAGCTCACACAGCCTTCCTTATCTCAGCTTGACTCATGTTGTGTTCATAATATTCAGCACCACTCACTTTTACAACATGCCGTAACAAGAATTATAGTTCCATTAATGTCAGATTCATGTAAATCCATTTTACAGCTAATTGCCTTCCTGTCTCTCCAGCTGATCCTGGAGGTCACAGAGATCATTCCCCGTGTGAACACCATATTGAAGTTAACGTGGGATTAAAAATACATAGTGAAAAACAATGATAAAATGATCCTGATCCCCAAAGCTTTGAATAATCTCCAACGAGTTCTGACAAAGCCAAGAAGAAGCTCCAAAAGTAAAATGACTAAATTGATAATAATGTTAATTGATTTTACTGAATACAACTAGAATTAACAACCATGTAACCTTTTGCTAAACAAACACTGGAGTTGTAAAAACATTTAGAAACAAAACTAAATCCTCTGAACATGCAGGTTGGATACAAATCACCACTCAAAGTTTATTTTGGGCTGGCTCGATGCACAATCGACCTTAAAAGTATATAGTCTTATTGTCTTGAACAGATGCTGACGGATTAATGTGTAATCATCTCTTAGTCACAGAACCAGACCTGCAGAGACACAAAGGACTGAGCAGTGAGGGGTCAGCTCACCTGCTTTGGAGGAAAAACATCCTTATTTGACTTCTTTCAAGCACACAATCCTCCATCATCCACTTTACAGTAAGTTATCATTTCCTTTATCATTATTTTATTCCTTTAATGTTTTTATGACAAAATTCTGCAAAAGAGCAGATTAATAAATGTAATCATAGATTATTCAGTGTTTGTTCTCATGTTGTGTCGATTATATTCAGCACCGCTCACTTGTTCAGCTAAAAGGAGAATATAGTCCCATTAATGTCAGATTAATGTTCGTCCATTTTATAGCATGCTAACTGCCTCCCTGTCTCTCCAGCTCATCATGGACGTCGTTGGCTACGTGAAATGCATTTTGAATAGTATCACCACACTCAATGTTCTAATAGGTGTTATAAAAAGTAATAGTCAGCAATTTTCAAGAATTTCTGAAAGACTCAACAAGCTTGAGAAGCTGGTGGAATCAATTCAAAATATGAAACGAATTAAATACTATGACGATGTCCTTAGCGCTTTGAAGACTCTCGAATATGAACTGACCAAAGCCAAGACAAAGATCTACAACTTTCAAAACTCATGCTGTTTACTAAAGATTCTGAGATCAAGCTGCTACGAAAAGGAGTTCATAGAAGTGAACGAAAGTCTCCATGATGCATTTGAGGACCTTTCTGGAAGTCTGCATGTACGACAGAACCGAATACAGGAGCAGCAGGACAGGAACATGGAGGAGCAGGAGAGGGAGCAGGAGAGGGAGCAGGAGAGGTTGAACAGAAAGCCTGATTTTTCTCTTGATTTCAAAGCAAAATGTATTATACTTTAAAAGGCAGAATGTTGTCAAAGCAACGTACCAGGAGCAGCTGTTGACTGCATCAAACAGTTTGATCACGACAAAGCTCTTTCATCTACCCATCAAGTTAAAGGCAACATTGGCTAACCCACTTGTTCTGTTCTCGTGCACTCACAGTAGGGTTTAATGATTGCCTACCAATCTACAATCTTTGATATAAGACAAATTCAAGCAAATCAGAATGGATTTAAGTTTTTATTTTTTATTTTAGTTGTAGTCACTGATTCATTTATAGACAGAATCAGAATCAGAAATCTCCATGTCATGTTGCAGATGAATTATCAACATTAAAACTATTATTTTCATGATATGAAATGAGATACCTTAGCGGTCATATAAACAAATGGCACCAAAACAAGTTGTGAAAGTGACAAAGACACTGGTCTTTAATGCAGAATATTGTATAATTGATGTCCATAACAGCTTTGTTGTTTAGTCTAAAGACTACAAGATGGTGCCAAGAGACTCAAGAAATATGAAACCTTTCTGATCTGTGTCCTTGAAAAATAAAGAAGGAATCTGTATTGTACACGAAAATATGACAATCGTTTATTGTTACAAATCATTCAAATCAGGAAAAAGTCATGATAATGCATTAAATACAGGTTCTAATGACATGAAGTAGAAAGTGAACTTTGTGTTTTAACATTGCTTTGTGTTTCAGAGTGAAAACATGTATAACACTGGTTCCTCATATTAAAACGTATAAACAAGAAGCTATTGTACTTTAAACATGGGATACACACAGGCACAGTGGCGAGCCGTCAGGGCCCTCTAGGAGCTCTCTGAGGGCCTAAGATATGCTAAAAAATAATATTTGAAAACATTAAAAAAACAACATTTTTTTTTAAATATCTTTTTAGTTATATTTTTCATTAGTTTTACCAAAATAACTTGATTTAATTGTATTTAAAATAACATTTCCAAATAAATAAATCCTTCGAATCTGCCTGTTCAGTTTCTGTTGGAATGTGAAGGGTTAAATGCCGTCTCTGCGAGTTATGTGAAGACGGGAGAGCTTGGTGGTCCCTCTGTACATTCACAGAGGGCCAGCTATAGTAACTCAATGAGAGAGTAATTTAAAGTTAAAGTTAAAGCCTTTTATTGTCATTGTACACAGAGTATAACGAGACCCAGAGAGTAATGTCAAATGACAGTACAATTCAAATCATATCTTCCCTCTAAATGGGTGGGCTTTATTTTCGCGGACTTTATGACAAGTTCTGCCCGCTGTGAA